TGAAGCAGACGTATCACATCCAAAGCATTTCCTGGGTAAAGAGCAGGATTCTTCCCGTCAATATGTAGAACAGTTACTTAGAACATGTGGTTGCAGTTGTTGCAACAAGAGGTCACACATGGTTCTCAAAACATTAGATCACATCGTTTTCCACTCCAAGGTATCGTCAGATTGTAAACAAAGCATACTTTTTGAATGATAACATAATGTTTTTGAAACTGGATTTGACACAAGCAGAAAACTGAAACGGAATGCACAGCATAACTATTTAGAAAAAAAAATCAAGAAGTTATTACTAAGGTGGGGCAGGTGAGCTGATTAACAGATGACACATGTGGAGAGAAACACTCAGGGGAACAGAGGAGAGCAATGTGTATAAAACAACAAAAAAACACAAAAAGACTCAGGCCAACTTCACTCAAAAACCGATTATTAAATGATTATTTCTAATTATAATTGATAACTTCTTAGTTTTCATGCAGGCTGAAAATGAAAATAGTCTTCTACCCCTATATCCTGCATTTTCTGATAGGATGGTGTAAAGGGTTTGATTTACATATTTAATGAACCATAAGACATGCGATTCCATAGTGAATATGAAATCAATCTTATGGATCTTTGGGTACTTTTAACCAGAAGATTGGAACTTTTTATTGCAGGGATTATGTAATACTTGGTATTAACTCAGAGACAAAAGAATGAGAGTCAGGTTTTAAAAGTTTAAAGATTTATTACCAAACAAATTAAAACTAGACTAACTTTAAACACTAAATGTATGGTGTAACTAAGGTGAATGAGACGGAGAATGGTGTAGTGTGGAATGTTGTTCAGAACCAGCAAATCCAGAGAAATGTATAGTTCTGATGGGTGTGAAGGTGATGTCTTCACGCTAAGCTTTGATTTGGAGATTCATAACACACATTGAGACGCCATTCTGTAGGCCTACATACCCTTTCGGAAGTCCCCGTTAGATCAGGAATGTCGAGGTCCAGCTGGACCCTCTCTGGAACCGAAGCCGGTAGGAAAAGCAGCGGTTGCCGACCAGACCAGTCTTTTGAGATACTTCTGGGTCACAACAGTTTATTGGCATCTAGCGAGACCCAAAACGGGGTCGTGATGGTTCAGCTTTTATTCTGAAAGGAACCGTTGCAGCAGTTGGAACAGCAACAGATTTTATTCAGCTTGTCGTTGGTTCTTTCGGCTGAAGAGGAAAGTTACAGATTGGCCACTCCGACAACTTCTCTAGAACGCTTTGAACTGGCGTAAAAGATGACGTGGGCATAGTTTTATAATTCGGATGTTTTGATTTACGGTCGAATGAAAAGATGACAGATTTACCAAGCACCACAAAAACCACGCCTCCGTCAGATCTGGAAGATTCTGATTGGATCAGTAAAAGCAATGTGTGATGTGGCTTAACCTTACGTGTGATCAGTCTCCAGGGGAAACATTTAAAGTTGTATTACTTATTATATTCTATAGGATTGTAATATCAAGTAATTAATATTTTCATTTCACAAATTGGTTCACATTTTATTATTGACTAACACTTTGTTTGATTAGCTTATTAAAAATAGAGTTCTTTGATTTATTAAAAAGAAAGAGTCCTTTGTCTTCATTCTTCTCTTGGGCTGGAAAGGAAAACAGTTTGGAAGCAGATGCACGAGACCTTGAACAATATCTCATGCAGATTAGTTCTTGCTGAGGAGAGGGGGAAATGACTTTCAGGTGGAAAACAGTCATTTCATTCTGTTACAATGGTGAAACGCTAGGATTTGAAAAACCTGATAAATCTATGTCACACTGTCACTTAACATTCATGGATTCACTCAGATTGGCTCAAAAAAGTGAAGGCTGTTTTTGGTTTAGTGTCCAGGAAACTACAGCATGGCAAAACTTCTTCAGGCTTGTGTTATTTATGGAGATAAAACATCAATATCGCAGAGCAAACTGAGTCAGTGGTAAAGTCATGTTGCTGTTAACCAATCTGAGGCGAGATGTCCAAATATCAGGGAATAAGACTCCAAACCCAGACTAATTTCTCCTCTGGCTGACTTCTCCATCTTCAAACAGGCAAACTGGAGCTTTTGTTTCCCACAGAGTACAACTTACAAGGCATCGATCCCTACCAGAGACCATATACATAGACCATATATTTAATACATCTGTATTATATATATATATATATATATATATATATATATATATATATATATATATATATATATATATAAAATGCTTTATTTTTCTGAGTGAACCACACTTTTAAAATATTATCTGCACGTATCACTCCACTTTTAACACCTAGGTTTTTTAATATAGAGTTTAGGATAGGACAGTTCTAGCTACCAAGTTTAATTGAATGACAACATGCTGAAGCCTGACTACACTTATTAAAACAAACTTGTTCATAAATGAGTAAAAGCAGTCTGTGTGTCTCTTCCCTCTTGTTCTTTTCTTCAGCTTTTCTCTCTCGGGCTCTGACACACTTCAGAGAAGGGGGCATCCTCTCTGTTAAAACATTCATGACTATTTCTGTTTGTTTTTTCCTTCCTGAGAGACACAGAGATAAAAACAGAGTACACTGACGTAAGCATTTCCTCCGTGTTCACCACTTGTACTGGTGCTTGGTGTAAGGGTCAGTTATTGGTTCAACTTCATCCATTTTAAAAGTGCAGCGCGAAGGAAAAATAAAGTCTAAAGAAGTCAAGATTCAGCAACACTAAGAACAACTTTTTTGTTTGATTAATGTGTTTTGGCTTGTGGCTTGCATCAGGGCCAGTCAAGATAACCTGAACAAGAGGATGCTAGTCTCGACTAACTTTAGTCACAACATCCATGCACAAAGATTGTGGTGGTTTATCTCCATGGGGGCAACATGCAGTATCCTAGGCAGGGCAGCTGCTTTACAGAATCTGCAAAACAAGCTGCACAAACACAGTCACAAAACTCTCACCCCTCCCGCTGGCTACTGTCCTTAGGCCATGCCCTCCTGACATGGTAACTGGTGTTAAACACCAGCCACGATTTTCTAGGCCCAAAGGTCTTGTTTTACGTGACTTCAGATGGTGTTTTTCTTTTTAGGACTCTGGTAATCTGTCCTAAAGTTGGTGGTAGCAGCCGACTGTTTCTCCTTTTCTGATATTTTTGAGCGGAGAACCTCTCAACACCAGAGGTGTTCTGTTGCAAAGATACACAAGCGCGTAATGAGCGGAGGAGCCAGGGAAGTTCAGAAGAGCAGTGGTTCAGTGAGACCGATGACTGGATGGTCCAATCGCTAGTTTCAGACTGAGCCGTGTTGTTGGCTGAGATCTTTTGACAAATGCAAAAGAACCACCTTACATTTTATCTATTTTTTTATCTCCTCAAAATATCTATAGCTATACTATGGTAGAACACTATCAGATGGCATGAAGACATGTTTAAGCTAGTTGCCATTGTAGAAGAAGAAGAAGAAGAAAATATCATTTCTATAGCGCCTCTCAAGATAAAAATCACGAGGCGCTTCACAAAACAAAATGTAAAATATAAAAAAGCATTTAGAAAATGTTTTAAAATATATTTAAAATGAGCAAAAATAGACAATTATGATTAAAAACATGTTAAGAAAGAGAGAGAGTGAATAGGAAAGAGGGAAATCAGTGGATCCTGAGGAAGGTGGAATAGGTGGAAAGAGCAGAATAAAGAGAGAGGGGTTGAAGAAGGTCATACAAAAGCCAGCTTGAACAAGTGAGTCTTCAGCTGTTTTTTGAAGGAGTTCACTGAGTCCACTGATCTTAGACTCAGGAGGAGAGAGTTCCAGAGTCTGGGGGCCACAGCAGCAAATGATCTGTCACCTTTGGTCTTTAGCCTGGTGCTGCACAACCAGTAGGGTTTGATCACTGGACCTCAGGGACCTGCTGGGGGTGTAGGGACTAAGAAGATCACCAATGTAAGATGGTGCTTGTCCATGTAAGACCCTATAGACCAGAACCAGGATCTTGAAATGAATGAATTGTAACTATAAGCGGCATTGTTGTAACAAATCCATGACACACACACACACACACACACACACACACACACACACACACACACACACACACACACACACACACACACACACACACACACACACACACACACACACACACACACAGTCACACACACATACACACACACACACACACACACACACACACACACAGGGACTGGACATTGAAAATATGACCCAGACTAAATCTCCATCACGCCATCAGCGTGACTCTGGTGCACTTTGATTTTCTAGTATGTAGCTACATTGATGACAGGATTGCTAAACGGTTTTTGTCGCATAGAACATGTCAGAAAGTCCCATTGAAATGGGGAATAGCAAGGACAAAACCCTGTTGATTACTAACAGCTTAACAACATGGTAGTCTTCACACTCGTGGAGTATTTTCAAATTTGCCACAATCCAGCCAAGATTTTTGTGTAGGTCATACTGTTGGGGGTCTTGGAGTTGTAAGTCTAGATGTCTGCTGGGAAGCTTTTGTCAGTACTTTACCTAAAAACCAAGCTGCAGAGTGCTCTAATGGCTGTGATTTAGTGTAAAGTTACTGTTTGGACTATGAAAGATTAGTAGAGTAATATAATATTATGTACTGACAGCTTTCCACTGTGGATATTTTAGGTTCTGCTTGGATGCTCTGATGAAACTCACTCCTCCATGCAGACAGTCTGGTTGCTGGCTCCAGTACAGGCATACCTGTCAGTTCCACTATAGCCAGAATAATCTTTTCTCTAGCTATAATTTTGGCCAATCCACCTTTTCTTTTTGTTAACATTTTTGGTAATATATCTTTTTGGTAATATAACATTATTTAAATGGTTTGGCCAAAAGGCTAACACCACTTAAGAATCTGGGGTGAAATAAGCAAAGATAACATTGAAAAATCTGTTTAGTGGTTAGATTAACCACCAGCATAGCTTTGAATTTCACCAGCTTTTCAGATCACTGATTAGACATTTTTCCTTTGCAGAGATGTTGGAGTCTAACAACCTAATAACATTTGAAGGCCTTGCTAATAGTTCAGCTTACCACACTTTCATGTTGGATGAGGAGAAAGGACGACTTCTGGTTGGAGCCAAGGATCACATCTTCTCCTTTAACCTCCTCAATATCAGCAAAGACCAAGCGCAGGTAACGCCAGCAATTTGCTGTTTTTGTATTAACTTTACTCATTTATGAGTTATAGTCTGTTTGCATTTCTGACCGACTTACACCGCTGTTCATCTCCATCTGGAGTGCCAGCCTTGGGTGTCTTGGGAGTCTCTTTTCTGTTTCCAAAGAGAAGTGCTTCATCTATATTTTAGAGCTGGGCTGTCACACAAAATCACGCTGTTCCAGGCATCTTAGCTGCTCTCTGCACACCTGGGTGGATTAAATTGGAACAAAGTGGAGAACAAATCACATTGTAACCCCTTCAACTCTTGTAAACACCAAATCTGCAGCTCTATCAACTGACCCAGTCATAATCTAAGATGGGAAGTGAAGGGGTATGTTTTTTTTCTATCTTATGGAGAAACAGTTTTTTGTTGCAGATCGCTTGGACAGCTTCTTCCACCAGAAGGGACGAATGCAAGTGGGCAGGAAAAGATCTATCGGTAAGAGCTGGCCTCCATGTAGGAGTCAGAAAAACAATCACTTTGGGAATTGTTAGAATAAGTCACACTTTTTTAAATCGTTATTACTGTTTAACTATGAAACAAACTGTCTTATAGAAATGGACATAAATAAATAAAAATGGCAATGCAGTTCAAAAACTGTGAACATTGCATTTGAAATTGCGTCCCAAGCTTTTCTCCTAAGTAGTTGCTCCATCTTTTATTCACTATAAAAGGGTTTGCAGCGATGCTGATGTTGGGAAAATTTTCCAAACACCTTCAAAGACCTTACTGTTTGATAAAAGCTACAATCACATCCATAAATAATGTGAAATCAACACAATTCCAACCTTTTGGGCTCAATACACCACCACAATGGATCTGAAAGGAAACAAACATGATGTGCTATAACTGCAGATTGTCAGCTATAATTTCAGGGTATTTATTTCCAATCCAAATGAACGGTGTGGGAATTCCAACAGTTTGCATACAGGATATGACTCACTTGTTAAGGGACCAAAAGTAATGGGACAGAATAATAATCATAAATCAAGCCTTCACTTTTTATTGCTTGGTTTCAAATCCTTTGCAGTCATTTACAGCCTGGAATGCTCATCACCAGATGCTGGGTTTCATCCCTGGTGATGCTCTGACAGGCCTCTATTGCAACTGTCTTCAGTTCCTGCTTGTTCTTGGAGTATTTCCCTTCAGCTTTGTCTTTAGCAAGTGAAATGCATGCTCAGTCAGATTCAGGTCAGGTAGTTGACTTGGCCAATTCAGTTCAGTTTATTAATAAAGCGCCAAATCACGACAAGAGTCGTATCAAGGCACTGCACAATGTAAACATTCCACTACAGTTCAGTACATTAAGCCAATTGGTTAAAAGTTTCCCAAATAAGGAACCCAGCAAATTGCATTGAGTCTGTTTCTTAACATTTTTTAATCACAATTGTCTATTTTTTGCTCATTTTAAATATATTTTAACCATTTTCTAAATTTTTTTTATGTTTTTACATTCTTCATCTTCATCTTCATCTTCTTCTTCATCTTCTTCTTCATCTTCTTCTTCATCTTCATCTTCTTCTTCATCTTCATCTTCATCTTCATCTTCATCTTCATCTTCTTCTTCATCTTCTTCTTCTTCTTCTTCTTCTTCTTCTTCTTCTTCTTCTTCTTCTTCTTCTTCTTCTTCTTCTTCTTCTTCTTCTTCTTCTTCTTCTTCTTCTTCTTCTTCTTCTTCTTCTTCTTCTTCTTCTTCTTCTTCTTCTTCTGTGTCTTTGCAGCAATCCTCATACTAAGCAGTTATAAAACATTACACTTATTTGCCTTAAAAAATGATGTGGTTACTTCTGTAGTATGCTTTGGGTCACTGACCATCTGCACTGTAAAGTGTCATCCAATGAGTTCTGAAGCATTTGGCTGAATGTGAACAGATATTATTGGCCAAAACACTTCAGAATTCATCCTGTTGCTGTTGTCAACAGTCACATCAGCAAAAAATACAAGGGTATTTCTAAATGTCAAGGCACCCGGCCTTGCGAGGCGATGTCTTGCGAGAATATCCATGTATCCTTGCTCAGCTAGCTAAATGGCTAACAAATGGAGAACACACACTTCGGCAGAACATGAACATTGGAACACGCCTTGGTGGTTCCTGATGACGTATCTCCTAGGCAAACGGGGCAGGGCCAATACATCAAGGCGAGGTTCCTTGGTATTGAGAAACACCCCAAGAGAACCATACAAGCCCACGCCATGACACTACCACCACGATGTGTCAATGATAAGATGGAATGCTTAGGATCATGAGCAGTTCCTTTCCTTCTCTATAGTTTTCTCATCCCATCACTCTGGTACAAGTTGATCTTGGTCTCATCTGTCCGCCGGATGTTGTTCCAGAATTGTGAAGGCTTGTTTAGACGATGTTTGGCAAACTCTAATCTGGCCTTCCTGTTTTTGAAGCTCACCAGTGGTTTACATCTTGTGATGAATCCTCTGTATAACTGTGGTGAAGTATTTTTTTGATTATTGACTGTGACTCACACACACACCAACCTCCTGGGGAGTGTTCGTGATCTGGCCAACTGTTGTGAAGGGTGTTTTCTTTGGTCATCCACCACAGTTATTTTTTTCGTGGTCTTTCTGGTCTTTTGGTGTTGCTGAGCTCACTGATGCGTTCCTTCTTTTTAACAATGTTTCACACTGTTTTGGCCACACCTAATGTTTTTGCTATCTCTCTGGTGGGTTTGTTTTGGTTTATCAGCCTTATGATGGTTTGCTTCACTGATAGTGACAGATCTTTGGATCTTATCTTGAGAGTTGACAGCAACAGATTCCAAATGGAAATAGCACACATGACATTGACTCTGGACATTTTATCTGCACAGTGTAATTGGGATAATGAGGGACTATCACGCACCTGGACATGAAACAGCTGAGAAGCCACTTTTCCCACTACTTTGGTCTTTTAACAAACGGGAGGCCCATATGCAAACTGTTGTGATTCTTACTCTGTTCATATGATTTGGATGAAAATACACTTAAATTAAAGCTGACAGTCTGCAAATTGTGTTTGTTGCATTTCAGATCCATTGTGGTGGTGTTTAGAGCCAAAAATGTTAGAATTGTTTCAATGTGCCAATATTTATGGACCTGACTGTAATTGCAATTTTGCCTAAGATAATTATGTATGTTGCTGTTTAAAATGTTTCTTTATTGTTTTACAGCATGCTTACTATTTGTTTTATATTGGTTCCTAATTTTTAGAAAGATAAAAAAAAATTAAAGTTCTGATCAACTGTGTTAAAAGTAATCAAGCATTAAACAACAAATTCACCTGATAAGGTGTGATGAGAATCACAGAAACTGCACAATACCATCACCATTAATATCATCTATCCAATTAAATATGTTTGTAGTTGATTCTGTCATCAAATAAAATTTTTACTCCTAAAATGCAAAAATTGTGAATTTCTTGACTAAATTGTGACATTTTAATATGAAAGTCAACAGAGTTCCTTATGTTGAGACAAATGTAAACTTTCAGAACTTTCATAACATATTTGTCCAGAATAACAATTATTAGTGACATTTATCAGTTTGAAATAAAGATGAATCTTTAACAATTACTACGTTACTAAGGGTTTAGAGCTTTTAAGTCCTTTCATGACAAGCCAAGCATCTTTCCGGATCTGGCCGAGAGCAGTTTCATAACAGCTAGTGGTTTGGTTAAACACAGAAAGGCTAGATCTGCTCCCTACAAGTGTTGTGATGAATTTTATCCACCAAGTGCTCAAGGCAAGAAGCTGGGATGTAATCCTGGCGATGCTTTTTTTAGGCTCAATTCACTCACAAGTGCCCCTGGCCCTCAGCTCTTCCGCATGGCAAATCCGACACGCTGAGAGCTCTCCTGTGTGTTTTCTGTAAACATTCTGAAATAGTTGAGTTAGGTCTTCTGAGGGTGGTCTGTCTGTTGGATGAAAATGAAAATTAAAGGTATGTGAGGAAGGGGAAAAGGGTGAGCCCACAAATGCCCGGTGATATCCTCAAAACAAACATCTCTGGAGCTGAAACAGGGAGGAACAAAAGGGCAAGATGGGTGAAAGGTATGTTCGGTTGGATTCACGAGAGAGGAGGAAGCAGGAAAGCTACAGTGGATGCATGACTTACAAAATCTGCTTCATATTAGTGTCACATTAAATCATTGGAAACAGCTAAATGAAACTTTCTTACATTCAACAAACAGATTCAATCCACATGCCTTATGCTGATTGAAATGTTTTTTCCTCATTCTGCAAATAAATGTGTTTTGCATGCCATATTTTCATAAACACATACCTATGTATGAAAAACATGAGTGGCATGATGAATGCATCCATCAAAAATACCTTTTTCCTGCATCATTTTGCCACATTTTACAAAGACAAGTATCACAGAGATTTAGTATTTACAGAAATAGCTTTTTTACAAGCAGGATCTCCTATTTGCTGAGAACTATTAAAAGCTAGATCCACTTCATGCCTGATTTGTGGCACTTCTTTTGTTCGTTTCTATGCGTTTTTGTATCTGACTCGTTTTTCGGTGTGTGCGTTTGAAAATGTGATGACACATTCAATTTGTTTTTAGGTCAGACATGCTCAGACTGCTGCCGAAACAGGATAAAACATTTGTCATGTGACTTTGAAACAAAATAGGTGATGAATAAAGTGTCTGTTTTAATAGTTTCAGCAGAAAGTAAATCCTTTTGGCAGAAAAGTTACAATATTGGGTATTTTCTTTTAAAAAGTCAGCACATAACAAATTCTACTAAACTTATGGGCCATTCCCATCTGTACCGGGTCGGCCCCAGCCTGGCCCGGTTGATTCCACACATCCTTATCTTAAGCCCATATGGGCTGATTCTACCCACCAATCAGAGGCTTGCTCTAATGGAAGGTGTGAATTTGCTGTCAGCAGTGGGTGTGTTGGCCCTGGTCGGCCTGAAGCAGACCCCCTCGAGAAGAGGGCTGAGAATGAGCCTTGGTTGGCCCGGAAAAATACCAGGCCACCCAGATATGTAAACAACCTACGCTACCCGGCCCGGGCCGACCCGGTACAGATGGGAATGGCCCATAATTGTACCTTTTCTTAAACTTTTTTTAATCTCCTTTCTAAAATCCTGAACTTTGTCTTTGGTTGACACAAAAACTGAAATTTTGCTTTTATTATCTAAGTTGAACAATGTGAGAGAATATTCTGTGCATGACCCAGTAAATACAAGGTCTGAGTAACAAAAGCACCATAACAAAACAATTTTTTCTTTTTGCTCCATCAGAGAGACTGTGCAAACTTCATAAAGGTGCTGCTGCCATTCAACCAAACCCATTTCTATGTGTGTGGAACAGGAGCCTTCCATCCAGTGTGTTCCTACCTGGAGGTGGGCAAGAAACCAGAGGTAAAAAAGATGCTTTACACTGATTAATGTTTCTGTCACACACATTAATTCACATTGGGGAATCAGAGAGGCAGTGAATTTTAAATAAGGAAATATTTTGCTCTTTGAAGGTCTTAAAGTTTAACTTCATTGAAAAACTATGTTTTTAAGTAAACCTCCCACTGTCCTAATAGGTGTGACCCCGCGAGGAAAGCTGACCATTTAGCAGGGTTGATGGTTTATCCCTTGGGTGGCAGGGGTGAGAAGTGAGCACCACCTCACCCCTGCCACGTGGACCTCAAGGGATAAACCATCAATTTTGCTCAATGGTCAACTTTCCTTGCGGGGTCACACCCATTAGGACAGTGGGAGAGTTGATTTATCTGATCATTGCCAGTCACTCTGAGATTTTCATGGAGGCTGAACATGAAAATGGTCTTCTTCACCTAGCTCCTGTATTAACTTCTGATAGAAAATAGACGGTGAAACTTTATACTTTGAAAATCCTGAAAGATCTACGTCACACTGTCACGTAACATTTATGGACTCACCCATCTTGACTCACAATGGGGAAGGCTGTTATTGGTTGTTGGTTTAGTGTCCAGGAAAATGCAGATCATGTCAACTAGACGAGGCTAACCATTAGCAGCAACTTCACGACCCAACAGAAGCTCCTTCAGGCTTGTTTTATTTGTGAAGCTAAAACATCAATGTAACAAAGCGAACAGAATCAGTTGTAGAGTTGCATTGCTGCTAGCAAATCCTGGTCCAAAGATCTGGATGTAAGACTCAAAAACCTGCCATGTTCTGTTACCTTCCACTTCAGCTGAATTCTCCACCCTAAACCAAGCACACCAGAGCTTTTTGTCTCCAGAGTATGACTTACAAGGCCTTAAATTCTACTAGAAACCCCTGCAAATGTATTTATACTATAAGTGAAGTGGACTTTTAAGACCATGTTTTATGGATTACCCTTATGTCACAGATCTGCCAAAATGAGGTAATGATTTTTAGTTCAGGATTCTATCGTGCTTCTGCTCATATATGAGTTTCCTATTCATTAGATTATTCTTTACAGACCATTAAAAGAAGGAAATGTTGCTGGAAAAAAATCCCCGTTTTGTGCGGATCATAAACCAGAAATGCCATTCATCTGAGTGTTGTGTTCAAAGTCGCATTAGGGAGACTTCTCTATTCTTTTCTGTCTCATTTATGCTGGTTTACCATGTACACAGTCATATATTATCAGCTCATTTAATCACACACACACACACAAAACTATTTTTTGATATGACTCATAAAATTCTATATGTGATGGTAAATTAGAGCTTTAATGTTTTTACTTTTGTCTGTATGCAGGATAGTTTGTTCAGACTGGAGCCGCATGTAGAAAACGGCAGAGGGAAGAGTCCCTATGATCCTAAGTTGCTGACTGCATCCATGCTAATTGGTGAGTTTAGGGGCAGCTCCAGAGCGTTGTCCCCCTCAAGTGCAATAAATCCATGGGAGGCTACAAACATCCGCTGCACTGCTCTTTCATTGAAACAGATTTGACGTCAGTGTAAATAACAGAACAGGGGTTTTCTGACTTTCATTACACGTGGACCTGCTTTGTATTTACACACTAGAACCCCTCATTGACAGCACTGTAAACTCTATTTCAACCTGAATGCACCTCATTAAGTGGTGCTTGTGTAACTGTGGTGGGTGACATTTCCTTTGGTGTCAGCGACCCTCTCGTTTTTGGCAGGGGTATGCCAGCGTGGTGTTTCTCTTTACCCTGGATTATTAGCAGTCACATTGTGTTACATCACCATTTAACTTAACAGATGGACCTTTTATAGGCTATCACCCCTCATCTCCTCTCTCTTTTCTTTTTCCTTTCTCACCAACATTATTATGTACTCCCCTTGTTTCACTCTTCCATTCTGTCTACGCATCTGACCCTCCATTTGTTCATCTCTCCTCAGCCCTGCCTTCTTTTTTAATGTCAATTTCACACTCCTGATGTTCATCACATCTGTCACTGCCTTTATTCTCCCAGGACTGGAAGTCTACCAGTACTGCTAAGCCCCTCATGCATTGACACGTGGGCCACCGAGGAGAAAGAGGAACAAAAGAGTGCCTTTCTCATCTTTCATGCAAACACAAATGATCCCCCCTTCTCTCTCTTTGTCTTTCTCAGATGGGGAGTTGTATGCTGGAACATCAGCTGACTTCATGGGGCGGGACTTTGCCATCTTTCGCACTCTTGGTAAACATCATCCAATCAGGACAGAGCAACATGACTCCCGTTGGCTCAACGGTAGGTTGGAAGGACAGAAACCTTCATTTGGTACAAGAAAACGTATTTGCATCAAATGATTTTCTATAAATATAAGGAGAAAACACTGAATAAACAGACAACAGCAATGCAAGGAACATTTGTCTACATGGAAAGGGCAGGATTGAAAACCTAAAAGGAGCTTAAGTCGTGCCTATCTACTTCTAGACCATGGGTTCCCAGAAAAACGAGAACAGGAATCGGAGTAAACAGGGCCATAAAAGCTATTTCCCAATCCCATTTGGTATGTGACATGGATTTTATTCCTTGTATCTGTGAATTTTAAGGACACATTTTGATAGACACCTCATGTCTGGAGTGCTGGAAGTGTTTTTCCATCTGCTGACTTGCTCCCGGTGGCTGGCTGATGGGGTCCAGATCCCTGGGCTCTGTTGGGTCTCCGCCAGGGTTAGGCTTGACCGCTGAGTTCAGAGCTCAGCCTGCCCTGAATTGGGCAGTTGCGGGCAGGCCTGGGGGCTTGCCAGTATTATCTCCTGGGTGGCTGGCACGGCTGCTGATCGCTCCCCCTACCCACCCCCCCAGGTGATCCTCTGCACCTCTCAGGAGGGAGGTTGGGGCTTCTCCGGCAGCAGTCTCCCTGGGGTCTCCGCGCTCCGTGGGAGACCTCTGGATCTCTGTGGTTTGGAACTCATCCATCTTCCGCAGGTCTTTGGAGGCAGGTCTTTGGCCCCTCACTAATGAACACTTCTATAGAGAAACCTCACATACACAAGGATATGTACGCACACAGGTGCTCACATGGTGCTCCCACAAGTATGGACTTGGGCATTTTTAACACACAACCAAGGGCCGTGGTTGGCACAAAATGCACTATAAATTATTACTGTGTGCTTTTCAGAATAAATGTTATGATTGCTTATAATTTAGGTTTTGTGTGAAAATACATCCAGGAATACAAATGTTCATAGCCAAATTGACGTCATCGAAACCAGACTTATAAACAAGTGGAGGAAAAATGGCTGTAAGTTCAGCTAACTTCAAATCCTTCCTTCAGGAGGAAAGAACCACCATAAATCTTGCCATGTGGTAAGTAGCAACTACACTAGGGGAGAGGATATTCTGTGGTGATGTCATATTTGCAATGTGCAGACATGTGATTTGTAGTCATGCTAATTACAAACTTTTACAAGCTAATAAGTCTCAAACTATGTGACAGGCGTAGTTGAAACACACATGATTACTTTTCATTTAAATTGTAATACAACATATGTGTGGTTCAGGGCGTAAGGCACAGTGGATTGACTTGCATTCATTTTTGTTCTTCTGGGGACCCATGAGCCGACTGGAGCAGGAATATACGGAGGCTCCCTATACTGCTGCAAGCCACTAGAACAGGGATGTCCAAACCTTTCAAGGCAATAACCAAGAAAGTAATGTTTGAAGTCAATGGGGGCCACAAGAATGTAATTTTCTTGATTCAAAAAATGTTAACATTGTTTTATATATATATATTTTTAATTTGTACTCTTCAAAATAAATCCAAAATAGGCTTATAAGTGAAAATCTGAACAAAAATACATTAGAAAGTGGCGATTTATATCAACATCCTATTGGAGAGACACAATTCATCATTCTAGAAATTCAAGTGGGGGTCGTACAACATCACTCACGGGTCTGAAAAGGCCACCGGACCGCAATTTGGACATGCCTACACTAGAAGGTGTCTCATTGTTTTATTTTATTTTTTTACTTTAACTTATTTACTTTAACTTCCAATTTAGTTCCTATGTAATTATTATACATGTCCACGACTCTAATATATAAGCAATCTAAACACATTTTAAATGATTGTTGTGCTGTGGCCTTTTAGTCATGGACTCTGTGACGGATAAAATGTATCGCTGTGACAAGAATGCAACCTAACAATGCACAACCAAAAATGACAGATTATTTTTCATGAAAATTTGAAAGAAAATCTCAGCAGTCATCAATCCTCTTCATGCTGTTTGTTACAAATTGCTAGTCTCTTACTTACTTCTGTCAAGAAGGTCTAGAACAGTGAAGCATGGCTCAAAGTACTGCAAAAACACTTGTATTTCTTCGGTGCGGTTCAGGTTTAAATAGAACACCTTTATCACAACAGACCTGGAGTATAAGTCTAAGTGCAAAACAGTTTCTTAAAGCCTCCAGGTTTGTCTCGAATACTGGAGTTTTCCAGTTTGTCGTTTTTAACCTGATGACTTGTAGAAATATTTAGAACGTTCAAAAGCGGTAACAGTGTACTTGTTTTCAACAGATGGATTACAATAATAGGAATGTGTTTTTGTAGAGCCAAGGTTTTTGGGCGTTCATCTCATCCCAGAAAACGACAACCCAGAAGATGACAAAATCTACTTGTTCTTCAGAGAAAACGCCATGGAGGGAGAGCACGCTGGAAAGGCTACATATGCTCGCATTGGACAGCTTTGCAAAGTGAGCATAATTCCAGACACACAGGCACCAATGCAGGCCCTAAAATGAAAAAAAAAACAAGCAAACAACGAAGCATACATTAAATAAAACTGAAACAGACACCATTTACATCATCTAAACATTGAGAAACGTGAGTGAATGAGTATATTTTACATCTTTCAAGAGTTGTTTTATGTGATTAATTACAGCCTGGCGATCATTTGGTTATGTTGCATATGACGCAGTTGGTTACCCAAATCTTAAAGACAAATATGACATCAAAATCTGCACTATTGTCCTAATAACAAGTTTGACTTCCATGCCCAGTTTTGCACTATTTCATCTAATCTTTAAAAAAGCAGTTCCCATGTCCAGCCTTAACCTTTGGTTCAACTGCACATCACGCCTTCTTTATAACAGCCGTCTTTATTAGTCAGAATGTCAGGAATTTGCTGTCTTCAACACAAGACAGACTATTCATTATGCAAGTTGTGGTGTTAATTTGAGCCTATGCATACTTGTAGAAAGTCTAATTTACTGTCATAAATCAGCAGACGTGGAATGCATTTGTATGAGCCAGGCCTTTCTGCGCACTGTGTTTTGGATGCTGGAACACAAATGCTATACTGTGAAGCAGGAAGGGTAAAATAGTCATATTTCTGCTTGACATCTAGAAGGCTATTAACCACCATCAATAGAAGTTAGGAGAAGTGAAAGTCAATTTTTCATTTTGCCATTAACAAAGATGCTGTGTCAGGAAAACAAACCAAACATCTTCAGTAAATAAGACACTGACAGCTTCTTAAACAAGTTTGTTCAAGGAGCTGTCCGTGATTTAAATAGATGTTTAGCTAAAGAAAATGAAAAACACATAAGACAAATTGGTTTGTGATGAAATCCACTAACACATAAATCAGTCACAATGGTATGTGTGCGTTATCAGGTAGGCGTGAACGACGTCGACTGTGGCTTTGGAAATAAACTAAAATGACTTCAAAATGTTGTCACAAGCCAAACCAATCATTACAAGTTATTACAAGTTTATGTATAACCAGTTTTTCACAAAGGAACCGTTAGTAGACCTTGGCTCTTTCATTTTGACTCATGTCTGTTTTAACACAGTTTTTATCGAAACATCTAACGTTATGTTTATAGCGTACATTAACAGCATAAAAAGGGGAACACATTAGTGTAATCTATTTACTTTTGCTAGTTGCCAAAAAGTAGTGTTTTGCCCAACAGAATGACCTGGGGGGTCACAGGAGCCTGGTCAACAAGTGGACGACCTTCTTGAAGGCTCGACTGATTTGCTCCGTGCCAGGCAGTAACGGGATAGACACCCACTTTGATGAACTACGTGAGTTACAACTCCTCATTCTACTCAGGTTCAGTCAGAAATGTGATACACAATGTCTGTGAATCACTGACCCTTGCTTTCAGAGGATGTTTTCCTTATGAGCACAAAGGATCCCAAGAGCCCAATCGTCTATGGAGTATTTACCACTTCCAGGTATTGTGACCTACTGGAGTTGTTTTTCTCAAATTGTTGATGACGAATTGCCTAAATCTGACTCATTCTATCTTACCCTTAGTAATGTTTTCAAAGGTTCAGCGGTGTGTATGTACAGCATGACAGACGTCAGAAGGGCTTTCCTGGGGCCATATGCTCACAGGGATGGACCAAACTATCAGTGGGTTTCCCTTCCAGGGCCGTGTTCCCTACCCCCGGCCTGGAACAGTGAGTTTGTGAATTGATCTTTAAAGTTTCTCTTCATTTATTTTGTCTACTTTATAAAATCAATTTATTTTCATCCCAAAGTGCCCAAGCAAGACCTTTGGTGGATTCAATACAACCAAAGAGTTTCCGGATGAAGTCGTCACCTTTGCCAGAAGTCACCCAGCCATGTTCAACCCCATCTATCCGATCAACAATCAACCAATCGTAGTCAAAACAGACGTGGATTACCAGTTCACCCAAATAGTAGTTGACAAAAGTAGAAGCTGAAGATGGCCTGTATGATGTTATGTTCATAGGCACAGGTAATATGAATGGGGAACACATTACACTGTAAACTAAAGCCTAATTTATACTTTGTCAGCTCCGTGAGGGAGAGACGCACATGCATTGACGAGACGTTTTGCTTTCAGACTTGTCCGTCAGCTGAAAAAGGGCGTAGCGCTATTCTGATGTATCCTGCCACCATTAAAGCCACTTATCTGGTCACGAAAGTGTATTACTATTGTGATTACATTGTTTCACTGTTTTTGAGAGATTTTTTTCCCCTCATTTTCCTCCACCTCTTCATGTGATCGGCACCTCTAAACCCCACGTTTCTCATCTTTCCTTTCCACAAATAAAATGCTTGCTGCATATCTTTGTACTCATGGTGAACAAACGTTCATATTTTCAGACTTTTTCCACTATACGTTTTTTTTTTTATCTGTTCTATATCTGCCGCTAAATATCTCTTTCAGTTTTGAAGCTGCAAAGATGGTGCTGTTGACAAATGAAAACAAGAAGCAGGGTCCTGACCAATCACGAGCTTGCGGTCTCCGTCTCTCTTCGATGGATATTTAAAATTCAGGGCATGTTTCCGTCTTCCTCCGCAAGCCCCTTAAGGGCTCTTGCGTCGACGCGTAATGGCATTGCGTGTGTCTGTCCCGATGCAGACGAGAAGTATAAATTAGGCTTAAGGCACACATCATGTTGGGATGTAAAAATGTAGATGTGTGTTCTGTTTCATTCTAGACATGGGAACTATTTTGAAAGTTGTTTCCATTCCCAGAGGATCCTGGCATGACTTAGAAGAAGTTCTATTAGAAGAAATGACTGTATTCAGGGTAAGGATTTCTTTATGACGCAATTATTCCATGGACACTTCACATTCACCAAGAGCTCATCAATGATATATATATATTTTGCTATCTTTTAGAAACCAGTTGCCATAAAAGCCATGGAACTTTCAACTAAACAGGTACTGATGTTATTATCTCTTGTTCTGCTTTCATGACAACACAAACTACTTTAGTGGTAAATAACAAAAAATGATGAAAACATTTGTCCAAAGTTTGTGCATTGCCAGCACCTGAAAAGATAATCCTCTCTTTCTCTCTCTCTCTCCACTCTCTCTCTCTCTCTCTCTCTCTCTCTCTCTCTCTCTCTCTCTCTCTCTCTCTCTCTCTCTCTCTCCTCTCTCTCTCTCTCTCTCTCTCCTCTTCTCTCTCTCTCTCTCTCTCTCTCTCTCTCTCTCTCTCTCTCTCTCTCTCTCTCTCTCTCTCTCTCTCTCACTCTCTCTCTCTCTCTCTCTCTCTCTCTCTCTCTCCCTCCCTCCCTCCCTCCCTCTCTCAAGAAGACACACCTAGCTTAAGGGCAGAAAGACAGAACAATGACACGTTTGTGAGCACAGTTTAAACACTTTGAGATAAGCTGCCCTTGTCATCACCCAAATATCTTAATGCTGGCTTTACTGTGACAGTTAGCTTGTCATTGTAAATGACAGGGATTTAAAGACAAGCAAGCTAATCGACAGAAGGAAGAAAAGAGTTGTGATATATTGAATGCTCTGACTACTGACTTTTGGGCCAATAATTGTTGCATTCCTTAGACACATCTCACCTGATTTAAATCTGAACTGATCTGCAAATATAAATATGTATATAAATATATATATAAATATATATATATTAAATAAAAACAAAATCAAAGATATAACGTTTACTTTTTTTCTATTCAAGCAACAACTGTATCTTGGGTCAGACATCGGAGTGTCTCAGATGCCTTTACACCGCTGTGAGGTTTATGGAAAGGCTTGTGCTGAATGCTGTCTGGCAAGGGATCCTTACTGTGCATGGGATGGCACAGAATGCTCCAGATACTTCCCTATGGCTAAGAGGTATAATAAATCATCATGTTCATACATGTAAAATCCCAATAATGTAGGCTGTTATCTGCTATTGAAACACGTTGATAATATATTTGAATGCTCCTTTTACTTTACCCTATCTGGCCAGGAAGTAAACCACCACAAGTGGTCCAGGATGGCGCCGTCTGTTTGCATGATGTTTATTTATGTATTTACCCCCTCAAACATTTTGAGGGAAAATCTGTTTTAGTATTTAATTAATCTTTCTAGTAAACTTAGATCACAGCTGTCCCTCTCTATGGTCTATTGGTTTGACTATTAAGCACAGTCCATCTATTTTAGTTTGGTTGAAGTCAGTCATTCAAAGCCAATGCTACATTTTCCCTTCCTCAGGCAGTTTGATGTGTTGTGGGAGTCATTGTCGTTGTCAGTGCATTTACATGCAGCCAGTAACCCTTTTAAACCCGAATATTCACAATAACCCGGTTCCGCAGGTCCTTGTAAACACCGCCAAAAACCCGGATATGCTCATAACCGGGTTTTTAAAAACCCGGTTACTACACCTGGGGTAACCCTTTTCTAACCCGAATGTTTGGTCGTGGAAACGCATATCGGGATATCCCCATCAAAGCGTGTGTTCTGCGCATGCTCTGTTCGCAAGGAATCTTGGTCTTTTGAGTAGCGAGACGTCTTGTATGCGCCAGAACACCGGAAGTAAACAACAAGTTGGGAGCAACATGGCGAGTCGCGGCACAGCACCACACTTTTGGAGTGAGGAAGAAACTAAAGCTTGTAAACGGGTTATTCTGATCAACTCAGAAACCCGAATACCGACCTTAACCCGATCATAACCCGGATATTGGCTGCATGTAAACGTAGTCATCGTTTGAACTGTGTTGCTGAGCAATTGTGAAGTCGCCCTTTACTGTCATATTTTTCATTTGTGGTTCAAACATAATATGAATGAAAATTAATGTGATCATTTAAACATTAAGGAAACTCTCCATGTGGTGAAAAGCTAACGGGCCCCTTTCTTGGACTGCAGCCTCTATGTCCATGGCAAAGTAACACAAATTCCTCCGTTGATGGTTACACTGGTGTTTCAGTAACTTTATGGCATGCTTGTTCCTTAATATTCACACATTTCCCAACCACTTAGCTTAGAATAACTTGTGGGTGTTATTTTCAGAGAGAACACTCAATACCAAACATTAGTAACTATTGGAACTGACCATCTTTAATAGGATATTTGATCTCAAAAAGCAATTATTCAGTGATTAATTTTTGGAGTTGACCAAATCCAAGATGGCTACCTCAAATAATCAACATTTGCCAACACTGCTAAGTCCATTTCCCAGATGTTAAGATTTGGTATCATAGTAGTTCTGCGCCAACCCTGTGACATATTCCAAGTGCTACACAGGAGGTTTGCTTAAAAAAATAGATATTGATCCATAATTTCATGCGGTAGTTGCTAAGAGTCTTTTTACAATGCATACTTTGGGAATTAACAACTTGCTTAAGTGCAATTTGAAATAATGCTACAGTGAAATAATCAAATAATTGTCTAATGTCTCAATCAAATTAGAAGGAAAGTTATATTGAAACAATTATATTCTCAGCTGGCCTGGGTGGGGGCTTGTCAGTTTTTCTACTTTCAGAAAATAAAGATAAAAAGGAGAGATGCAGCTACTGTTTATATCAGTTAGTTATTGAGGTTGCTGTGTCTCTAGTGAACTACCTGCTATGCCGGCATTTGTAATTCAACAGCGGCTGGCAAAAAGCTCCGCAGTTATTTAAAAAACCTAAGCCAGTACACAGGAGCGACCCAGAAGTTATTTCTTGTACCCCTAAGAAGCCATAGCATCCTTTTGTTTTGCTCTAATATTGGGTGAAGCAGGCAAGATGCTAACAATGAGCTAACAATGCTAACTGTGAAATATAAGCAAAGAGTCTACTCTAAAATGATCTGAAACCACTTTTTCAACTACTGGATATGACAGTGAAATGTATGTGTGATGTTAATTTTGAGTCAGTCGTGGAGTTTTACTTTCTTTAATTAGTAATTTAGAACTATAACAGCAGGATGGTAAACCACAACACCTCCTCTTTACCATTAAACACCGAAGAATGCTAAAACCAGATATGATGATGTACTTATCTATTGATTTTCAACTTGCCGTGTATAACACATATTTGCTTGTCATCTAGAATCTTCTGGTGCTGAACAAAATAAAGGACAATAACCAAGAAACTCACGGAACAGAAATGAGAGAGTGATTGCAGCAATCAAAATTAACCAAGTCCATCATCCTTGCATATTGTACCTTTAAGATTGCATAATGTGAAAAGGTTTAGATATGTGAAACCTAAGAGGATAAGGTCTATCTAAATTATACAACTCAGTGATGCACCTAATGAAGAATTCAATAAAATCTCTAACATTTCAACCCATTACAGAAAGATGTTATATTGAGGATTTCTACAATTATCACTTTCAAATTATATTCACTCAAACCTCCCAATGTCCTCATGGGTGACCCCGCCAGGAAAGTTGACCATTGACCAGGATTGATGGTTTATTTCTTGAGATCCACGTGGCAGGGGTGAGGAGTGAGCACCACCTCACCCCTGCCACGTGGACCTCAAGGGATAAACCATCAATCCTGCTCAATGGTCAACTTTCCTGGCGGGGTCACCCATGAAGACAGTGGGAGGGTCAAGCATGGTTAGTTTAGCAACATGGTATTACATACGGAAAAATAATGATGGTATTTGTTCAAGCAATTGACAATCAGATGGAAACATCCTCCAATTCAGCAAAGACAGACTTCCAGTTTAGGCTTTTCTAATCTTTCAAAAGGCCCTAAAGATAAATGTGTGTTTTTAGTAATTCAACCCACGTGTGTTTACTGTAAACATGAACTAAAGTCAGCCATGTCTGCAGGGTGAACCAAAGGTGAGGTAGATGTTAGAAGTTCAGTAATAGTAGTAGCGGCATGTTTGCTTTGTTTGCAACCTCCCACGTGTGCAGTCGTGTGTATTGATTTGAACTTGAGCTGCTTGGTTTTCTCTTGTCATGGCTGATTGGTCGTTTTTTATACTCTTTCATTTAAAAAGCAAAACCAGTTGGAACCAATTCTACAAGTATCCACAAAAACAAGAAATTAATAAATAAATAAACTGAATAAGCAGAAGGTTAAGCAAGGGGTCACAAATCACATGTTTATGTTTTCTCTATAGCTGCTTTGTTTAAAGTTTGCAGAAAATATCCTCAGGGTTATGATGCTAAAATTTCAGATTTTATTAAGCATGTGCACTCTGGAAAAGTGCCAGTTTGGCTGATCAATGTTAAGCTCCACTCTCATTCACACCCTACAATTAAAGCCTTTCTTCTAAACCTTGGGCTGACTGGTGTTTATCTGTTTGTGTTGGCCTGCACAGTCACTGCATACCCGAACCTCGTTCAGAAACACACCTACACTCCAAAAACTTCCTCCAGGCATGTGTTCTCCCTCCTTCTCTCCCTCTTGTTCTCTGTTTCTCTCACACACACAACGCCGGCGTTCTGCCGACTTATGCATTTGCCTATTTTTGTGTTTCTGCAGGAGAACAAGAAGGCAAGATATCAGGAATGGAGACCCACTCACCCAGTGTTCAGATCTGCAGCACCACGGTACAGTTAAACTGCGTCTGTCCATTCCCGGCATAATCCAAGGAGGGATTTGTGTGTGGTGTTACATCAGTGGGATTTTATAGTGTTCTGGTGGTGTGAAAATTGAGGTTGGTTCATGTGAAACTTATAATTAGCATGGTCAACATTCTTTCAAGCCTCCTCTCTGTCGCCAAGACCTCCTGTTAGTCGCCTTGACACAAAATTAGGATCTCTGTGGTCAAATGTACTCTTACTTAATTTCACATTTGATCCATTTAAACCAACAAGATGAAAGAAAAGTTTCATTGAGAGCTATCAATCTGCGGAGTGGTTGTTCAAAAACAGCTGACCGGTCTCACGTCACCCTGTCAGAGTCAAAAGCTCCGATAAGAGCTTCACATACCGAACTGTATGAAAAAATAATCTTCTAGTCACACTCTGTTTTCTTAAGTGAGATTTGCTGTTACAGGAGACGCCAATCCAGGAGATGATTGAGTGAGATTAATGAAAACACATCAGAAACACTTTTTAAATTATGGGCTGTAAAGGGCAGTGAAACATGTCTTTTAGGTTTGTTTGTGTTCCTGTTTTTACATTCGGAAAACATTTCCATAAAAATGTGACTAAATTAGATATTTTTCTTTTTACTCTCTTTTCTAGATGAACTGAGTGGACAGGCGACTCTGCTGGATAAAACTGTGTATGGTGTGGAGAACAGCAGCACTTTTCTAGAGTGCAGTCCCAAGTCTCAGAGAGCCACCACGTACTGGCAGTATCAGCGCTCCGCTGAAGAGCGAAAACAAGAGGTCTCCGCTTCGGCAACTCCTCAGACATTTATCACTGTTTTTATTTCTCATTTTCTAAATGGGTTGAAATACATTTTGCCTCCATAAACAGATAACTGAGGCTTCATCATCATACGGAGACTTTTTATTAGATCATACCAAATCACATTATCAGAATTCAGTGCCATAGCTGACTCAAATAAAATCAATTTCTTATAATTGAAAAGTGCAATGAGCTGCGTAACTGATTAGATTTTGATGACACAATGACGATTCAGCGTTTTGATGCGCTGAATTGAATTTCTGCTCTATTTCTATGTATTTACCATCCTGTCTTCTTGCTTTCTAACTGTTCAGATCAGATCAGAGGAAGGCTTCATCCACACAGACCAAGGTCTCCTGATTCGGACTCTCAGCAAGAAGGATTCAGGCACTTATCTGTGTCAGGCAGTGGAGCATGGCTTCATGCAAATCATTTTGAGGGTTAACCTTGAAGTCATTGATGCTGACCGGCTGCAGGATCTTTTGCATCGTGGTGAAGATGCAGCAACCAGCGTCCACGCTCAGGAGTTTACATCTAGAGAACCTCCCAATCAAAAGCTTTGGTACAGAGACTTCCTCTCTTTGGTCAATCACCCGACCCTGAACACTGTGGACGACTTCTGCGACCAGGTATGGAAGCGGGAGAGGAAGCACAAGAAGCAGAAAGCTCACCTGGTACAGCAGGTGCAAACACAGCAGCAGCAGCAGCAAAAAGGAGTAGTGAACGCTCAGAATAGCGTGCACATGCAAGGAATGGCATCCAAGTGGAAACACCTGCAAGAGAGGCAGAAGGGTCGCAATCGCAGGACCCATGAGCTGGAGAGAGCCCCTCGCAGCGTCTGACCTGTGACCTGCTGAGGCTTCAGACCACAACCAGATCTCATTCTATACACCTGATAAACATTTCATTTTCCCCTTCATCATGTGAAAAAGACATCCACCAAGATGGAATGGGATAAAAAAAATTAAGTAAAAAACACAACTCTGATCTGCCAGCTGCTATGCTCTGTATGTGGGCAGCCATGTTTAAGGTACCACAGAACAGACAACCGCAGGAAACAGGATGTTGAGTGTCATCCACGACCATTGGGACATGTTATGTCAGCTGGACCTGAACTATGCAGAGGGTCAGAGGTCAACCAGCACAAGACCTGAACACAAAAAACCTTCTACATAGACACCACTGACTTATTTGTCGATGACATTGCTTCATGGTGTTGTAGTCAGATGTTTTTCTTAGATGACCGCATACCTAAAATAGAAAGAAAGGATTTTCTGTCTCACACAAGAAACACAATTAGATGAGATTTGACTAAAATAATCAGGAAGATAACTGGACTTGATACATTTAGATAATATCAACTTGTAAAATCAGCTTAATAAACAAGCATGACTGCCCCAAAACTGCAAGAAACTAAGAGGAGCATGCAGTTTAACAAATGTAATCATGTAGTTAGGATGTGTAAATATTTTCTTCTACAAAATCTCCTCACAAGAAAGGGACTAGCTTGCATTTCTCCGGTTGGTTCATGCTGACGGTCAAATCAAACCTTATTTAAAACAAAGTGTGCAACATATTCATAACCCGGGAGATTTTATACTTTGTGTGTAAGTGTGTGTTTGAGAGTGTGTGTCCATGCCCTAAATAAGCTCCCATAACAAAAAAGATTTCATTTTATTTTTCAGAATCTTTCTTAGCATTTAAAAAATTATAATTTTCATTCTGACCTCTTCCATGTTTATTTATTGGTAAACAATTCTATGTGTTGTGTTTTTTATTCATGTACAGTCTTTTTTTCCCAGAGTTTATAATTCACAGGACCAATTTGGTAAAAGATAATAAAAATGTTGTTCATCACCAACAAATAACTGCAAGTTTTAATCGATTTCACATATCCACAGCACTGAACACAAGCCAGTATCCATGCTGTACTGTATTTTCTACACATGTCCATATTTATCACCGACAGTGAAGTGTGACGCACTTTCATTTCGTCGCACGTAACATAAAACTAAAGATCTAGTTTTAAAAGCAGCGCACAAGCAAACACAAACCCCGACTGTAGCTGTGAACATCATGTAAAGTTAAATACTTCTATGACACCAGTGCATGTGAATACCGGCGTCGCGTTCTTGTTTTGCTTCCTAGTCTGATGTCGTCACTGTTAAGCTGTTGCTTGCTCATGCAGTACACAATAGTAGCAATCGTGTAAATAATGCTTATGAGGGTCCTCCTAACAGTATCTAAATAGGAACTCGACAAGAAGAGTCTGTTCACCGACCTCAGTCTGTTCACGTCCATTTCAATAACAATAGACAATAAAAAGCTTTGCAAAACATCGTTGTGTCAGAAGACTGTAAATGCCTGTTTGCAAGCCTTTTGTAAGCCGTGCTGGAGGAAGACGAGAAGCAGCTGGAGCCGGCCTCGGGAGATTTTAGTTTAATGAGACAAGCCGAACACCAGAGTAGTGGAAGTGCATGTGATAAGAGCGTCTGTACGAGCACGAAAACATAGGAGGCCTGTCTGACAAATGGTGGGAGGGAAGGAAACGGAGTGCTGCTGTTGCTGCTTTTTTGGCATAACAATATTAACGGTGATGTATTCTACTGATGTAATAAATATGTGTCTTCATGAAGTGCTGGTTTCAATAAATCTGTTTTTGATAGGTGCTTGTCTATGTTCCTGGGCTTTGCTTTGTTCGTGAAACACCTCTATGTTGCATAGCACACATAAATCAGTATAAAGTATAGCCGGTGATGGAACAGAAAAGAAACGTAGAAGATGGAAACTGTGTTCTTTGCAGCAGGAAACTCATCATTGTAATGCAGGTGTCAATAAGACAAGGTTTTTTTAAACATAGATGCATACAAGTAAAAGTAGCTGTAGATTATATATCTTTGTCTGGAACTCAAACACAAACAGAACTAAATTAAATGTGTACTTTCATGGTGTACCATCAGTTTGTAAATTCCATGAGATCAGGACCCTTTGCTGCACTGCCCTCTGGTGGTTGCAGTTTTTATCTGTGGAGCTCATACTCATGCAAAGCTCAAGTTCGGTCTCAGAGGAGCCCTTGTTGATGCCCTTGGCCTAAGGTCAAAGGTCATCCCATGTATGACTCACCAGGGCTTTGACTGTGACCTCTGCAGCTTTTTCATACGCTGCTGGAAGATCCCAGGGGTTTCAGTGCAAACAGCTACTGACGAACCCTTCAAAGAGAACATTACCAGGAGGTTTTGGTGTTGATAGTGTCAGCTGGAGGGACTCAAACCTTCATCGAGAAAAAAACAGATTATTTCAGAAACCACAAATAAACAGACAGAAGCATGTCAGATAAATGACTCTGGATGGTTTATTATGAGTTAGGAACTCTTTGAAAGTATTGTTTTTAGAAAACCCTTGAATATTTTATACATGCACCTATGACAGAGATGTGGACTTGAATCATAAAACATGGACTTCAGTCTGTTGAGGAATTTAAACTTGAATGAATCACAAAACTCTTTGGATTCAATTTGAACAGTAGAACAGATGACTCGTGTCTTCACTTGGATAATTTACTCAGATTGAACAATAACAACTAAACCAATGTTGTTGATAATAAAAAAGCAACATCACAACCTTTGTATCTGATGGTGAATGGCATGTATTTATATAGCCCCTTCTAGGGTTCAACAACCACACACAGTCATTCACCCATGCACACACACACACACATGCACACACACCCACACACACACACACTAGTGGTGATGATCTATAATGGAGCCACAGCTACTCTGAGGCGCACTGACAGAGGTGAAGCTGCTGAGCACACACACCACCGGCCCCTCCAACCACCGCCAGCAGGCAAGGCAGGTTAAGTGTCTTGCCCAAAGACTACAACAGACTGAGCGGAACTTGAACTGGCAACCCTCTGGTTACCAGGTGAGTGCTTAACTCCTCCGCCACCATCATTGATCAGGTTCAGTTGACATTTTTCTCTGAAAGAAGTTTGACTTTACAAAAGAATTCAGAATTTCTGAAAATGATTCATCATTATTTTGTGGTTAAATTACACATTTAGCTAAATGACTTGATGAAGAGGCATAAGTCAAAGTTTAGGACCTTACTCGATTCAGGACTTGTATGTCTTGGGAAATGACTTGAATTGGGACTGGCACAGGAAACTTGTGATTTCAACAAATTTCAGTGACATATAGCATCATGGTTTAGGCAGTAAAATTAATAAAAACAAGGCATTTACAGGTTGAGATCATATACTGTCAACCTGATCTTGTAGGGGATCAAATGATACTTCTTCATATTGTAACATTGAACCACAAACCTAAATGCATTTTTTTAAAGGGAGAACATCAAAAATGCATCATTTTATAACTGCAATGAATTTCAGCACACAATGCTAAATTCCCTAAATTGCATGTAAATGATAATGAGTTGGTTTCATAAACATAAAAAGACAACCTTGATGGAAACATTGCAGCTTTACTCTCATTTACAGAGTTTGGCTGCCCTCCTGTGGCTGAGGAGACTTCCTTTTCAACATGGTTAACCTCCAACATTCTGATGAACCTGAAGGAAAACAGCAACTCCCTCCAACTTCCAGTCAAACCAGACATTACTGAGGAGGACCACCCTGACATTCACACTTAGTGGTTAAGAAAAGAGAGAGAAAACAGAGAAAATTAAGATGGCTTGACTATGTCAATGCTTTTAATGCACACATGGAATGATCCAGTGCTTTAACTACATTTCAGGCTACAATTAACCTGTATTTGCATCATTTCAGGTCAGTTCAGTTGGAACAAAGACTCTGACAGGATTCCCTGTCCTTCTGTTCGCCTTTTGTGTTTGATCACTGAAACTGGTCTGCCTCACAAAAAAGAAGTGATGAGAAGTCATCTGGTGTGCACCTGAATAGAAATGCAAAGACACATGCTAGTGCACAGACTCGTGCCTTTTTCTCTAGACACAGGACATCTTTTACTGCTGTCACATTGTTTACCAAAACTGTGGGAACGAGGTAGTGGTGTCTTTTCTCCCATCAGGTGGTTTGGAAAAAGTGAAATGGAGCAGAGCTTTATTTATTTTTCGCTAGTTACAATACACTCAGTGCATGCTTCTGTGTCCCAGGAGAGTTCAGCATGTCCAAACATAGATCACAGGTGTGTTCCAGCTGCTCCTTTCTGCATCATCTTCAGAGACTTCACATCGGTTTACCCTGGAATGTTGAAAGGAATGAAGTTTTATCCTAAAACCTATATTTTGAAAAGGTGTGCATGCACTTGTTATTGTTTGAAGCAGAACCCAAACTGGAAACTTCCAGTTTTCCGGGCTGTTTTGATGGAGCAGAATGCATCCTGCACCAAAGACGCTTTGGAAAGAGATGCTTCACCCTGAGAGAGTCAGAGCAGCAAAACTAAACCAATTAGCTACAACACATTTGACATCCACATAACACAAACTGACCTCTGACATGATCCGTCCTATTAGTGAGAAAAATCGGACTTCAACAAACCTCGTTTTAGACTCGCTATAGCGGAGTGTGGAATCGAGAAATGTTCTCTGAGTGAGGGTTTTGTTTTCCCACAAGTTTTCGTCTATTTATGGGTCATAGGTTAATGACAACGTCCTTGTCATGGAATCAATGTTCTAGGAAAGAGAACAAACTAAAGTGAAAGTCTGGGGAGGGTGTTAAAGTCATCTTCTGAAAGCCTATTTTTGGAAGCTTGGTGTTATGGGTAATCAATACTTAATGCACTGAAATCAGATCAGGTGTGTGTGTGTGTGTGTGTGTGTGTGTGTGTGTGTGTGTGTGTGTGTGTGTGTGTGTGTGTGTGTGTTTGCATATGCATGTGTGTGTGTGCGTGTGCATGTGCGTGTGTGTGTATGTGTGTGTGTGTGTGTGTGTGTGTGTGTGTGTGTGTGTGTGTGTGTGTGTGTGTGTGTGTGTGTGTGTGTGTGTGCGTGTGTGTGTGTGTGTGTGTGTGTGGGTCTGCGTGTGCGTGTGTGTGTGTGTCTACGTGTGTGTGTGAGTGTCTGCGTGTGTGAGCGTGTGCGTGTGCGTGTGCGTGTGTGTGTGTGTGTGTGTGTGTGCGCGCGCGTGTGTGTGTGTGTGTGTGTGTGTGTGTGTGTGTGTGTATGTGTGTGTGTGTGTGTGTGTGTGTGTGTGTGTGTGTGTGTGTGTGTGTGTGTGTGTGTGTGTGTGTGTGCGCATTTACAGACAAGGACAATTTACTTTCATTGCTTTTTATTTGGTTGAAGGCTGTTTTATATTCTGTGTGTAAGAAGGCCTTTCTGCAACAGAGAACGTCTCGACATATTGCTCAACATGAACATGCTGGCAAAGGTTCTCAGTCAACCAGGTCATGGTAATCCAAAGAGGTTTAAATGAAGACAACTGGACTTCATTGTTTTCTTGAAGACGTTTCACTTCTCATCCAAGGAGCTTCGCCAATTCTGACTGGAATAAGGGAGAGTCAAGCTTATAGGCTGTAGCTGTCTACTGTTATTTAACGAGCTGAAATAACCAATGAATACCCCTCCTCCCTACCTCCTGATGAGTTGTTGGGGTCATTAGCCTCTATTGTTTGAGGATTGTTGTGTTGATTTGATGAAAGAGGGTGTGAGCTAGACTGAAACTGTTTGGGAATTAGGTTCAGACCTGCACTGTAGGTGCCTAGTGGCATCACTTATGCAGTCCAGTGTAATGAGGACTGTCCAGACTTTAACACAGGGGAAACTAAACAGTTACACAACTCAGGAGAGCCACTTCTTCAGGTCAAGACTCTGCAATCCACTTATACCTGAAGGATGAGGGACACTCTTTTGAAGATGGCAAAGTACACATTCTGATCAAAGAAGATAGATGGTTCGCAGCAGTAGCTCAACAGGTTGAGCGGGTTGTCCAGTAATCGGAAGGTTGCAGGTTCGATCCCGGCTCCGGACAGAGCAAGACACTTAACCCACCTTGCTTGCTGATGGTGGTCGGAGGGACCGGTGGCGCCTGCACTCGGCAGCCTCGCCTCTGTCAGTGCGCCCCAGGGCAGCTGTGGCTACATCGTAGCTCATCACCATCAGTGTGTGAATGAGTGTGTGAATGGATGAATGATACACTGTAGTGTAAAGCGCTTGGAGTCCTTACTATGAGAGGCGCTATACAAGTGCGGGTCATTTATCATTTATCATTTAAGAGAGGAGTAAAGTTAGTGATCCATGTCAGGAGGAAAAACACATGAAATAGAGGAGGTCTCAGGTTTCACCTTTCCAACAACCTATATTGCTGCTCTGAACACAATTCCCAAGCAGCCTCACCCTCTCAACTAATCAATACAACTCCCACACAATAGAGGCTAAAGACCTCAACGACTTCTCAGGAGGTAGGGAGGAGAGGTATTCAATATTAGTTTCTACTCCATAAGCAACAATAGACAGCAACAATTTATAAGCTTGACTCTCCCATATTCCAGTTAGAATTGACAAAGCTCCTCGGATGAGAAGCGAAACGTCTTCAAGAGACCAAAGAAGCCCAGTTGCCTTCATGTGAGCCCCTGTGGATTTACTACTACCTGAAAACACTTGAATACAAAATGAATCTAATTGAAAATGTAGCATAGCCTTAATAAAAAATACATTTTTTAACCGTTTAAAAATCTTAGTTTTATTTCCTCAATATGTTCAT